TGTGTGTGTGTGTGTGTGTGTGTGTGTGTGTGTGTGTGTGTGTGTGTGTGTGTGACAGGTGAACTGGACTACAGCAGTGTCCTCCTCGGGATGCTGGTCATGCAGGACGTTCAGCTCGGTCTCTTCATCGCCGTCATGCCCACCCTGATCCAGGCTCAGAGCGGAGACTCGGACAGGTGTGTCCGTGGTTTCTGTCCCCTCTAAAAATAAACGTGGAGAGCATTTTGTTAAAATCTTTTGTTCCCCCTGTGAACCCCAGCTTTGTGTTCGGAGGCCTGCGAGTCCTGAAGCTCCTGGCCCAGGTCCTGGTGTCCCTGGCCGTGGTGCTGCTGCTGTGCTCGTTGCTCAGGTCCTTCCTGATCGGTCCGTATTACAAGAAGCTCCACGCCGAGAGCAAAGGCAACAAGGAGATCCTGGTGCTGGGAATGACGGCGTTTGTCTTTTTCATGCTGACTGTACGTTTTGTGCTGACTCAGCATTCACACTGCCGTCTTCATGTGATACAGTTAGCTTTTAGCTAGCCTTTTGTTACTTCTTAAGCTAGCCTTTATAAAATACATTTTTGCTACAGTTTCTCGTTTCACTAGCCCTTTGCTATTTTAGCTTCTAGCTACTGTTTTGTTCCTTTAGACTTTAGTTAGTTTTTTTTTAATTTTAGCTTTTCAGTTTTGACATTAGTACAGTTAGAGTTTAGTTAGCCTTTTAATGTTTTTAACTTAAGCAAATCTTTTACTGCTTTTATCGTTTTGCTGCTGTTTTGCTAATTTTAAACAGCTTCCTAATCTTTTAACAAACATTTTGCTACCTTTTTTTTTCTTAACCCTTTGCTACTTTTAACAACCATTTTCTAATTTAATTAGCTGTTTGCTGCGTTTAGTTAGCCCTTTGCTATTTTAGCTTCTAACTACTGTTATGCTCCCTAAATATTTTAGCTTTTTTTTCCTACTTCGAGTTTTCAATTGACAACTTTTTCTATAGTTAGCATTAGCTCACCATTTGCTACTTTTATTTTTTATCCAACCTTTTGCTACTTTTAGCTGTCATTTGTTTTTTTAAATCACTTTTTGCTACTTTCAGCGTAACCCTTTGCCCTATTAGCTTCTAGCTACGTTTATAGCAACTTTTTTCTACTTTTAGCTTTTTGATGCACAACTGTTGCTACAATAAGCTAGCCAATTTCTACTTTTAGCTAGACGTATTCAACTTTTAACTAGTGTTTTGCTAATTTTAGCTATCATTTGCTACTTTTTCAATAGCATTTTGCTACTTTTAGCTATCATTTGCTACTTTTTCAATAGCTTTTTGCTACTTTAAGCTGTCATTTGCTACTTTTTCAATAGCATTTTGTTACTTTTAGCTTAACCATTTGCCCTATTAGCTTCTAGCTATTTTATAGCAACTATTTTTCTACTTTTAGCTTTTCAATGCACAACTGTTTCTACAATAAGCTAGTCATTTTCTACTTTTAGCCAGACTTTTTCAACTTTTGACCACTGTTTTGCTACTTTTAGCTATCATTTGCTACTTTTTCAATAGCTTTTTGCTACTTTTAGCTAGCCCTTTGCTTTTGTAGCCTCTAGCAATTGTTTTGCTACTTAAAGTTTTTAACTAACTTTGTTTCTACTTTTAGAATGTTTGGTAAACAATTGTTGCTATACTTAGCATTTAGCTAGCCATTTGCTCATTTTAGCTACTGTTTTATCTTATTTTGGTCATTTTGCTGCTTTAGCTTTAAGATAGTGTTTTGCTTTAAAGTTTTTAGGTGGTGTTTTTGTTTATTTGGATCATTTCTATCTGATTTTTGAACTTGTAAAGAAGACATTGGTGTTTCTTTTGCAGATAACAGAGTTTCTGGACGTTTCCATGGAGCTGGGTTGTTTCCTGGCCGGAGCGTTGCTCTCCTCTCAGGGTCACATGGTCACAGCCGAGGTCACGGGGGTCATCGAGCCCATCAGAGATTTCCTTGCCATCATCTTCTTCGCTTCTATTGGTCAGACAGAACCAAAATGTCAGATGTTTGTCCTGTTTGAGCCTGTCCTGAACTGTGGTGTGTGTATATGTGTGTGTGTGTGTGTGTGTCACTGCAGGACTCCACGTGTTCCCTACCTTCGTGCTCTACGAACTCACCATCCTGCTGGTCCTGACGCTCACTCTGGTCATCATGAAGGTTTGGCTCTTTTCTGAAATGTATATTTTTTCCGTTGCGATCCCAGTTTCTCCCCCCTGAACCCTTCGTGTCCCTCCAGTTCCTCATGGCGGTGCTGGTGCTGTCCGCCATCCTGCCTCCGGGTTCCCGACACATACGGTGGATTGTCTCAGCCGGCCTGGCTCAGGTCAGCGAGTTCTCCTTCGTCCTGGGCAGCCGGGCGCGTCGAGCTGGCATCATCTCCAGAGAGGTCGGGGATGTGCTCGCTAAAAGTYGATTAAATTGAAATTGAATGATTAAAAGTAAAAAAATAATAATAATCTTTATTATTTTCTGTCTCAGGTGTACCTGCTGGTCCTCAGCGTCACCACGCTCAGTTTGCTGCTGGCACCGCTGCTGTGGAGAGTCACCACGCATAAATGGGTTCTGCGCACCGAACGCAAATCCGTCACATGAGGCCCGGGCGTCCGGTCTTGGTCCTTAGAGGTACCGGTAATTCAGCCACTGATTCAGGTGTTTGAGAGAGAAACCTGTAAAACCAGGACCAGGACTGGACTCACCCCTGCTTTAGCCCCAAAAAAAMCTTGATACATTTTACAAAACTGTTAGCAAAAGGACCAAATCTGTTTAAAAAGTCTAAAAAACTGTTATGTTCGCAGTGTTTGTTACATTTTCTTTACAAGGATTAAATCTGMTAAAGTCACATAAGCTGTAGGTGAAAAAAATGCTCTGTAGTGTATTTAAAATGACAAAAATCAGTTTGTTTTAAATCACTGAGTTAGTGAGCTGTAACTAAAACTGACATCTTGCTGACTGTTACGCACAAAATTGTGGCAAATATCCACCTAGAATCACTGAATCCTTGTGCAACATTTTGTTTTATGTTACTGCAAACAAAGTAATTTATTATTTTACTTGTCAATCAGTCTTAATTTAATTTCACAGTCTGTAAACACTCCCATGATTGTCTCAAATGTTGCATTCCTGAAACTAATTTAAGACGAGTTCAAGACCGGTTCTAGACATGAGGGGGTGGCTCCGTGACCGTTTAGACCAGGGCTGTCAAAGTCAGTTACACAAACGGGCCAAAATTCTAAACTTGGTCCAAACCGAGAGACAATATCTAACAATATTTATTGAAAAAAATGTTATATAGTAAATTATTCTTATAAAAATACAAATTAACTTATTCCAAATAATGTTTTGTGTAGCATTTAAGGCATACATACTCTGATGGATAAAGAATTGTTATGCCTTACCCTCAACTAACAACTTTTTAATTTATTATTTCCTTCAGATATAGTTTATTACAGTCCAGCAAATCAGGTAAAAAAGGAAAATCTTCACTAAAAATCCAGATATTTGACTTTAAAATAAGGAAAGAAAACAAAAAAAAGATCATCAAAGTTAATTCTCTGTTACTCTTTTCACACCAATTTTCTTGGCTTGAAAGTCACGACAAGAAATTACAGCAACAAAACTGAAACCATWAAACTTTTTTTGCATTTAAAGTTTTGGGGCCAGAAAAAATAGTAATTTTGGCCATATTTGACCCACGGGCCTGAAGTTTAACATGTGGTTTAGACAGAAAACCAGATTTAACTTACTGCTATGGGAGAGCAGTGCGCTGCAGATTGTGAACCCAAATGGATATTTCAAGACAWTTTGGGAACTCTCTCACGGATATTTGCTGTTTTTGTTTTGTTTTGTTTTGTTCGCTAACAGTTTTAGCCTCGCAGGACACCAGAGGAGGGAAGGAAAAATATTTTGGGATCAGAAGCTGATTTTTGTTTATTTCTTAAAGGGAAACTTTGCATATTCCTCTGAATTCTAAAGGTAAAAGAACAGAGCCTTTCCAGTGACATTGGATTAAAAAATAACGCGATAATCTCATGGCCACGGGTTTTTTTATTTTTTTATCCAATGTCACCGGACATGCTCCGTATAAAAACTATTTTTGTTGAGACAATTTCCTCAATGTTTACTTTTAATTCGATCATGTACTACTTGAACTTTGGTGTTTTTTCAGGAACTTGTGTTTTTTAGTAATTAAATCACGGTACGTTAGACTGCACTGATAACACAAAGGAAGACACTTAAAAAACAAAAACACTAGAAGACAAATTACACCAGATACTGACAAGAGTTTATTCGCTGACGTTACATTTGAAGAAAAATCCTGCACTAGCCACTACTGAATGTCAAACCTGAGTGCCTGATCAGCTCTTTTCTGCACTTAAATAAAAAAAATTAGATTTTTTTTACGTTGCACATATTAGTGTGTGACATAAAAACCCACAATGTGCAATGAAAATGTGTACTGCAGATGTTACTGTACTGCGTGAGTACTGTATATGTTCAAATATTTTTCTTTATGTTAATGAAGAGGTTTATTATTATTATTATTATTATTATTATTCATGCTGTTTGTGCTGTTTTCCTTCAAACTGTTTTCATTTAATTTGATGTTGGTGGACTCGTTTGTTTAGTAAAAGAAAATAAAAACAGAACTACTCACGTGGGATATATTTATTATTTGTGTAGTAATTTTTCTACATATTTTTGTCTATCAGTTATTTTATTTTAAAAATACACACACCAACAGAAATAGCTCTGAACATCTGCGGAAACCCTCGTTCACTGATTGTGTAACAGTCAGCTGTGGACGAGACGGGCCGACACGTGCAGGACCGGTTTAAGCTGATAACCCACAAACTTTGCAGTCAGCACATCTCTGAGAAACATCATCATCCTATTAGTGGATGTAGACAGGGAGGCTGACTTTATGTAGATGGGTACATTTGTCACATTTCAGAGTCATTTAAAATAAATTCACCCAAATCATCGAATCAAATCATCAAATCATCATTTTTTATATGAATTCTCATGTTTCCTAATAATTATGTTCCCCAGTACCCATGTTTCACAGTAACTATGTTCATCGTTACCCATGTGTCCAAACTTTTGGTCTGTACTGTATGTCCGATATGTCCTGCTGGAGTGTGACATGATTTGTTTGTGTACAAACTAACACGGTATCAGAATTTTATATATTTATACTTCTCATTCAACCACAATCAAATTCACTCGATCTAGGAGGCACAATTTATATGGATAGTACCRGTATTTATTTTTTACAATAACATGCTGGAATGAAAACAAGCAAAAATAAAATAAACGTAACTACTTTCTACTTCTTGCCTTTTTTAAACATGTGAGGAGTAGAAGTAAAAAGTAGGCTGAAAAATTATTACTCAAGTAAAGGTCAACTGGTCCGAATTTTTAATTTAATTTCATTTTTTTTTTTTATTTTATTTTATTTTATTTTTTTGTGTAACTACTTGTGTTTTGTAATTTTTGTCTTATAACAGGTCTCTTGGAAATGAGATTCTGAATCTCAATGAGACTGTATAAATTAAGGTCAAATAAATAAAATAAAAAATAAAGTACAGATACTCAYAAATTCTACTTAAGTACAGTAACAAAGTTCTTATATTTATCTTTTTCTTCTTTACTCTAGAATTAAAAAAATTGTCACTAATGATGTGGAAATTAGTTTTGTTTTCTACTGAAGTGGCCAACAAAAAAGAAGTACAGTAACAAAGTATTTGTATTTAGTTACTTTACAACTCTTCTGGTACCAAAATTATTTATAAAAACAGCAACAAGCCCAATCAATGTTACATATGGTGTATTGTGTTTCCTGCTAAATACACAAAAATGTATATTTGATGTACGTTTATGAGTTTTGGAGCTTTTCTAAAAGTGAAAAACAAAAGAAAGTATATACTTTTCTGCGCGGTTTGACATTGTTTGAGACTACCAGCCTGTCCAGGGTGTACAGTCCAGCACAGTTTAAACGTAAAGAAACCAAAACTATCTAATTATCTGTGCAGTTTTACCCATTCCAGGTTTAGCAACGTTAACAGGGTTTCACTAATGGCATGTGATCAGGTCATACCATACTTCATTTATTGTCCCTTTCTATTTGCTTCTCTTTTGTTCTTTTGTCGTTTTTTGTTTTATTCCCTTTATCCTCCTGGGCTCTAAGAGCGAGCACATGGGTTAACACACGATACAGCATTAGAGAGATACAGCATGGACAAATCTCTTTTGGGGAAAGGTGATGAGTCAGGTAGATCTGCATGTGTGTGAGGGGGCGAGAGGGTTTAGTGATCACCTTACTGAGGGAAGGCACCGAGCTCTCTTTGCTGAGAGTAGACTGACTCACTAAAGTAAAAACTAATCCACATCTGGATACATTTTCTCTTTATTTTTGCGGAGTCACGCATATTTCTCCTTCCACCTTGTTATCCCTTCCACTGCGTCACCATGGATATTGGTGGCCTGACGACAGTGGTGGCCAACTCTGCCTACATCTCTGCCCGGGGCAGCTTCGATGGGACTGCCAACCCTGCGGTCAGCCGGGACAAAAAGTACCGCTCCCGCCTGAAACTTCCCCACATTACGATTTGCGAAGGTCTGCTGGAAACCTTGGACCTCGGGTTCCATTCCGTCTGCGTGGAGCAGCCCATTGGCAAACGTCTTTTCCAGGAATTTTTGGAGTTCAACAATGAATATAAAGGCCCATGCCGTCTGTGGAAGGACGTTGAGGAGTATAACATGGCTGAAGATGAAGACAGAGCCAAAAAAGCCAGCAAGATCTTGTCTCGGTACATGGAGCCTGACGCCAAGTATTATTGCCCTTTTCTGCCGGAAAACGGCATCACAAARGTCAAAGAGAAACACCAAGAAGCTGGGGACGACCTCTTCAATGAGACCATGGACAATGTGTTGGACTTTCTCAAGGAGGTGCCCTACACGTTTTTCCTGGAGAGCATGTACCTKAAGAGATTCCTGCAGTGGAAGTGGCTGGAGATGCAGCCCATCGGCGAAGACTGGTTCTTGGATTTCCGTGTGTTGGGTAAAGGGGGGTTCGGAGAAGTGTCTGCCTGTCAGATGAGGGGAACGGGAAAACTGTACGCCTGCAAGAAGCTCAACAAGAAGAGACTGAAGAAAAGAAAAGGTTACGAGGTAAGGGTTAATTCATGTATCCAGTACGTAACATCAGTTGGAGATTTAGTCAATGAAGTATCTTTTTAACTCTTCTGTGCTTTCCTATCTGTAGGGGGCAATGGTGGAGAAAAGGATCCTGGCTCGAGTCCACAGCAGGTTTATCGTCTCTTTGGCTTACGCCTTCCAGTCCAAAACAGAACTTTGTCTGGTCATGACCATCATGAATGGAGGAGACCTAAGGTTAAATCCCCTGAAGTCCTGTCGAAACTAACACCTGATATTTCTTGTCTTATCTGAAATCTGAGGATTTTGCCCCCCCCCCCCCAGGTACCACATCTATAATGTGGATGAGGACAACCCAGGCTTTGAAGAGTCACGCGCCTGTTACTACGCTGCACAGATCATCCAGGGCATGGAGCACCTCCACCAGAAGAGGATCATCTATAGAGACCTCAAACCAGAGAACGTGCTGCTGGACAATGAAGGTCAGGCTCTTAGCAAGGAAACACAACTTTAAAAATCTGGGTATCTGTAACCAACCTGATGGTGGTGCTCACTATTGTTAAACTCACCAGTTGTCCCAACCTTCTCTTGTTAGGATTTGAAATTGTTTAATGGAAGCTGCATTGGCACACTACAAATTTAAAAATATATACATTTTACCAGAAGTTAATCGATGGATGGAATATTTGAATGTACAAAGGCAAGGTAGAAACTATGGGAATCAAGAGTCAAAACCTGAAGAACAATCCAAGGTTCATCTGTCCGTCTATCCATCCATCCATTGTTCCAGTGTCCCGTATGAGCAGATCTCTTTCCACAACCACTTTCTCCAACTCTCTCTGGAAGATTTCAAGACTTCCCAAACCTCTCTGAAAGACTTAGTCTCTTTCACGTGTCTTTGACCTTCCCCAGGGCCTCTTCCCAGATGAACATGTCAAGGACACCTGCCTATGTAGTCGTCTAGGCGGTATCCTTACAAGATACTAGAACCACCTCAAATGTTTCTGACTACTCCAATTCTCTCATGAATAACCAAACATCTCATCCTATCTCTAACGGAGAATCTAGTTTCCCATGTGGAGAAACCTCATTTCAACTAACTGTATCTACAATGTAGTTCTTTTGGTCTCTGCTCACAGTTTGGGACCTAAGGTGAGGGTAGGAACATAGACTGACTAGTAAACAGTGCAGGTGTACAGGTATGCCATACTGCAGAAAGTAATAAATTCAGGTTATTTTGACCCACAGTCTGCAGACAAGTTTCTGTATTAATGATATGTTTGGTTCTGATTGTTTTGCTGTTCGTTCTCACAGGTAACGTTCGCATCTCTGACCTCGGTCTTGCCGTGGAGCTGGCCGATGATCAGTTAAAAATCAAGGGCTACGCTGGAACTCCAGGTGAGTAAAGTAAAACCTTATTAATAATACGGATGAATTTGCTTATTAAATTCTCACTAATACACCCAGACTTCCCCTTTTAAACTAAGTAAAACTCAAATGTATGAACTTAAAATCAAGGATAAAAGCACAAGTTTCAGCAAAATAATAATTTTTGTTCTGTTTGAACATCACAAATCAAAGTTTTGTTCATTAATAGCCCAGAGAATTAAGCCCTGAACTGTTTTTATGCTTTATATTAAAAATATAAACTAACTTTTAATCCTTCTTTGATCTCTTCCTGTTGTTTTCAGGTTTCATGGCTCCAGAGCTCCTGAAAGGAGAGGAGTACGACTACTCTGTGGATTATTTCGCTCTGGGCGTCACTCTCTATGAGTTTCTAGCAGCCAAAGGACCTTTCAGGACCCGTGGAGAGAAGGTAGATAAGAGCCGAACTTTCTTATCCACTCAAGTAGCTACATCTTAAAGGGATCCATGATTAGTTGTGACATTAGACTTTATTTGATAAACATTTGTTTTAACTGTAAAATAAAGACTGTAAAAATACTGTAGGATGTTTAGTTTTGTAATTTTTAAACTAAAAGTTTAAAAATATATTACATGGACGGGGCCATTTTATTTACATGCAAAGTATTCTGGGAAATTGATGACATCAATTAGGTCCTTGTTGCAAGGCTGCTAGGGAGCTATATCCACCCTGAAGGTTAATCTTGGACAATATCTGAT